CAGGAGATTGAGACCATCCTAGTTAACACAGTGAAACCCTGTCTCTACTAAAAATACAACAATTAGCCGGGCGTGGTGGCCTGTAGTCCCAGGTACTCGGGATACTGAGGCAGGAGAATCGCTTGGACCTGGGAGGCAGAGGTTGTGGTGAGCTGAGATCATGCCACTGCACTCCAGCCTGGGTGACTGAGTGAGACTCCATCTCAAAAAAAAAAAAAGATACTGTAATACTGTATTTTTACTATAGCTTTTCTACGTTTAGCTATGTTCAGATACACGAATACTTACGATGGCCTACAGGATTTGGGACAGTGACATGCTGTCCAGGTTTGCAGCCTAGGTACAATTGGCAGTGCCACATAGCTTAGGTATGTAGTAGACGCTACCACCTAGCTTTGTGTAAGCGCACTTGATGATGTCTGCACAATGACAAAATCACCCGAAGTATTTCTCAGAATGTGTTCCCGAGATTAAGCATTGCATGACTGTACAGATAAACCCAAGAGTTTGACAGACACTTTGAGACCTTGGGCTGTGGCAGGGCTACACGCTGTCTGAGTGCTTCTCTGAAGATTGAGAGCTCAGGCTGCGCTAAGGACACACCCAATTAACCTTTGAGCTAATTTCCACAGCTTCAACCAACTCTGGTACACCCTCTAGCATAGTCAAGCCACCTAGCGGAGAATCTAGTGGAGAATCTCTCCTCTAAAGGTAGCCTCAAGCTTCAGCTAGACTTTACTTCCCACGGAGGCTTGCTTTCATCCTAAGTGAGCAATCAAACTTTAATAATTGGACTCCAGCAGATTGGAACTCCCTCACTATGTGGCTAAGGGACCTCCTCCATTGAATGTATTTGTTTTCTCATTCTGCCCGCTTTAAGAATGTGAACAACAACAACGATAAAATCTCTTTGTATGGCAATAAACCGTGTGATTCGTGAAATCATACTTTGATCATCTCATTATTATTATTGTTGTTATTATTTTGAGATAGAGTCTCACTCTGTGGCTCAGTCTGGAGTGCAGTGGCATGATCTCAGCTTACTATAACCTCTGTCTCTCGGGCTCAAGAGATCCTCCTGTTTCAGCTCCCTCAAGTATCTGGAACTACAAGCGGGCACCACCATACCCGGCTAATTTTTGTATTTTTGGTAGAGACAGGGCTTATGATGGGTGGCATATAGCCATGTTGCCCAGGCTGTTCTTGAACTCCCAGGCTCAAGTCATCTACCTGTCTGAACCTCTCAAAGTGCTGGGATCACAAGAGTGAGCCACCACTCCTGGCCATCCTTATTTTAATCATACAAGACAGTATGATTCCATATGTATGAAATGTCCAGAATAGTCAATTCTATAGACAGAAAGCAGATTAAGTGGTTGCTTAGGGCAGAGAGAGATGAGAAGACAGAGAGATAATAGCTACAAGGGCATAGGGTAACTCTGTGCAGTGATGAAAATGTTCTACAGTTGACTATAGTGATGTTTGTACATATCTGTGAATATACTATAAGTGAATTTGACTCTTACTGCAGCCTCTGCTTCCCGGATTCGGGTGATTCCCCTGCCTTAGCCCCCTGAGTGGCTGGGATTGCAGGTGCAGACCACCATGCCTGGCTGATGTTTGCGTTTTTAGTAGAGATGGGGTTTCACTGTGTTGGTCAGGTTGGTCTTGAACTCCTGACATAGTGATCCATCTGCCTCGGCCTCCCAAAGTACTGGGATTGCAGGCATGAGCCACCGCGCCCGGCCACAAGTCTCATTTTTACAAAGCTTGAAGAAGACCTGACCCAAAGCACAAGGTACAGAGCTGAAGTTTAATGTGTCTTTTGAATTTGACTCCAAGCTTCAGGCATTTTCTATTTCAACACCCCAGATCTGAGTGGATAGCTGGGAAGAGATAATCTACTGAAAAAGGGACAAAGTGCTCCATGATGGAAGCACCTAGCTGCCCTCAGCAGGGACTGTGACCAGGCCAGGAAGTGACAGATGATAAGCATCAGATGACATCGAGGACTTCCTGAAGCCAAGGACACCTAGGGGTGGGTGTGGCCTCCCTCAGTAAGCTGCCTCCTAAAACTGGGTGCTTTCCACCCCCATCCACTGACTTCCTCCCACTTCACTTATTATCTGGCCAGAAGGCTGTCACCTGGTCCATCAGACACAGAAAGAACTAGAGAAAAGGCCATGTGCCTCCACCAGCCTCAGGCCAAGCTCTTATTCTGGCTGGGCCATGTGGTGGGCTTGAACAAGGCTCTGCCTGCCTTGTCTGAGGAGCAGTGGGAAGAGGGTTCAGAAGGCCGGAGAGAAAGAACTCCTAGATGATGCTGGAAGACTCAGCCTGTGGCCCAGACTTGCCCAGGACTGGCTAAGACTCCAAATTCAGGCTCTTCCCCTTCTGCTGAGGCCCTCTGGGTCTATCCTGAGCCCCTACTTCCTCCTGCTCACATGCAACCATTCAGGATCTCACAGAGCTCAGGATCTCTCGGAGCTGCCTGGGACAGTGCCAGAATTTTACATTTCAGAGAGTGCTTTAAACTGGTCAAGAAAGAAGTGCATCTTTCTAAAAATTTGCTGAGAGATTAAAAAAAAAAAAAAAGAAGGGCAAGATGGTCTCACTCTACTACACACCCTGAGGACAGCAGCAGGAGGTGAGTGTGCTTGCCTGTGGGCCCAGAGCTGGCACAACCATGAACAGGTCTGTCAAGCCGCTGCATTCAACCAGCCTTCAGATATGAATCAGGATGTGTCTGGACCAGCCAGAGCTGTTACCGATGTTTAGCTCACAGAACCTACATAGGTACAGAAACCACTGACACCAAAGGCACAAAATAACACAACACTAATTATTCCTAGAAATGATAAACACTGCAACCATCTCAGAAGCACCAGCACTTTGGGAGGCCGAGGCGAGTGGATCACGAGGTCAAGAGATCAAGACCATCCTGGTCAACATGGTGAAACCCCGTCTCTACTAAAAATAAAAAAAATTAGCTGGGCATGGTGGCACGTGCCTGTAATCCCAGCTACTCAGGAGGCTGAGGCAGGAGAATTGCCTGAACCCAGGAGGCGGAGGTTGCAGTGAGCAGAGATCGCGCCATTGCACTCCAGCCTGGGTAACAAGAGCGAAACTCCGTCTCAAAAAAATAAATAAATAAAATGAATATACTATAAGCCACTGAATGTACACTTAAAAAGTAATGCACATAAACCACTCTTAGGCATATATCCAACAGAAATCAAACATGTGCTCACCAAAAGACAGGTATTAGGATATTTGTATCATTTCCAATATGGAAACTACCCAAATGTCCATCAACAACGAAATAAATGGTGACTTCTTTGTAATTATACAGTAATGAGAGCAAAGGAACTATGATTACACCCAGAAATGTGAATGAATCTCATAAAAATAACGTTTAATGAAAGAAGGCAGATTTTTAAAAGGTATATTGTCTAATTCCATTTATATGTACCAAATAGGTAAAACTAATTTATGCTATTAGAAGTCAGGAGAGTGGTCAGGTGGTGAGAGTCAGTGACTTAAAGAAGTCACAAGGGAACTCCTGGTTTCTTTTCATGTTCTGTGTCTTGATTTGAGTGCTGGTTATGTGGGTGTATTCAGTTTATCAAAAGTGCATCCAGTGGGCCTTAAAATATGTGTACTTTTCTGGCTAGGTATGGTGGCTCACACCTGTGATCCCAGTACTTTGGGAGGCCGAGGCAGGTGGGTCACTTGAGGTCAGGAGTTCAAGACCAATCTGACCAACAAGGTGAAACCCTGTCTCTACTAAAAATACCAAATTTAGCCAGGCATAGTGGTATGTGCCTGCAATCCCAGCTACTCGGGAAGCTGAGGCAGGAGAATCGCTTGAACTCGGGAAGCAGAGATTGCAGTGAGCTAAGATTGTCTCGAAAAAAAAAAAAAAAACCGCTATACTTTTCTGAATCTGTCATATACTTCAATACGAGGTTAAAAAACCTTCTAGGGCTTAAGTTACTTCCAGTATAGTCATAATTAATAAACTAAATTTACAAGATTGTAGCATCTATTCAACATTCTGTCAGAAAGACAAAAGCAGCACATAGCATGTCTGTGCAAATTATATACATTAATGAATCAAGCTGGGCAAGCCGAGAAAACACATCTGTTCATGATATCTAAATTACTCAAGAAAATAAACAGTCCTATTGAATGTCCTGGGCTTTTCCTTCCTGAGGATGTGTTCTCTGGACAGTCACAGTACAATCTGACTGTTAGCCCTGCCAACCTGTCTCAGACGTGGATGCATACTCTGCAGGTTCAGGAGCACAGAGCAGCTGATGACACAGAATTTCTCATTTAGTGTATGGCTTACCGAATGCAAGGCTCTAGCAAGATCCAGAGGGCAGCTTTACAACGTAATTTTTTATAATTTTTTTTTTTTGAGACAAAGTCTCACTCTGTCGCCTAGGCTGGAGTGCAGTGGCACGATCTCAGTTCACTGCAACCTCCTCCTCCTGGGTTCAGGTGATTCTCGTGCCTCAGCCTCCCATGTCGCTGGGATTACAGGTGCCCACCACCATGCCCAGCTAATTTTTGTATTTTTAGTATAGTTTTCTTTTTCTTTTTTTTTAAGATGGAGTTTTGCTCTTGTTGCCCACGCTGGAGTGCAATGGCACGATCTCAGCTCACCACAACGTCCTTCTCCTGGGTTCAAGCGATTCTCCTGCCTCAGACTCCCGAGTAGCTGGGACTACAGGCATGTGCCACCACACCCATCTAATTTTCATGTTTTTAGTAGAGACAGGGTTTCTCCATGTTGGTCCGGCTGGTCTCGAACTCCCGACCTCAGGTGATCCACCTGCCTTGGCTTCCCAAAGTGCTGGGATTATAGGCATGAGCCAACGCACCTGGCCAGTAGAGTTTTTTTTAGCAGGTTTTTTTTCCCCCATCAGTCATGCTCAAAGTTGCTATTCTAAGTCTTCTATCTGCCACTAATTTAAGATAACGCTGCTGGGTTGTGTTATTTCATACTAGTTTATTTAGGGGTTCCATTTTCACTCCTCAATAGATTTTATGTATTTCTCATAAGCTTCTTAACTCATAATTTCATCTAGTGCTGAAGGGTTACTCAGTGTCGTCTTGATCGGCCAACCATCTTCGTAACAAAATTTGTTTACGAGTCCTGGATTTTCTGCAACAGCTTCATTAATTTCAGGTACTTCTCCTGATAAAGGAGAACAGAGCTCACTAGCAGCTTTCACACTTTCCAAAGCACCAAACTCATCTTGTTTGTTCAATTTTGTCCCAACTTCAAGCACACTACAGTAAACAACATCTCCCAATGCTTCCTGTGCAAAATTGCTGATTCCCGCTGTTCCAATATCATTTTCTGTTGTTGTCCATTCATGTTTCTCTATGAATTTACACGCCGAGAGCAGAGCCAGTCCCAAGAACAGCATCCGGATGACGCCAGCCCCCAGCTGCCAGGCCCTCAGCAGGCAGGGCGCAGCAGGTGCCAGGACTGCGCACAGGCTACAGAGCACAGCCTGCATGCTCAGACCACTTGCATTGCCATGTTCACAGCATAATATGTGTATGTGTGTATATATATATATATATTTTTTTTAAAGATGGGGTCTTGTCCTGAAAGCCTAGGCTGGAGTGCAGTGGCGTGATCACAGCTAACTGCACCCTCGACCTCCCAATTTCAAGCGATCCTCCTATCCCAGCCTCCTGAGTAGCTGGGACCACAGGCATGCACCAGCAGACCTGAATAATTTTTTTTTTTTTTTTTTTTTTTTTTTTGAGACGGAGTTTCGCTCTCGTTACCCAGGCTGGAGTGCAATGGCGCGATCTCGGCTCACCGCAACCTCCGCCTCCTGGGTTCAGGCAATTCTCCTGCCTCAGCCTCCTGAGTAACTGGGATTACAGGCACGCGCCACCATGCCCAGCTAATTTTTTGTATTTTTAGTAGAGACAGGGTTTCACTATGTTGACCAGGATGGTCTCGATCTCTCGACCTCGTGATCCACCCGCCTCGGCCTCCCAAAGTGCTGGGATTACAGGCTGAGCCACCGCGCCCGGCCCTGAATAATTTTTTTAAAAAAAATTTTTTTGGTAGAGTCAGGGTGTCTCCCTATATTGCCCAAGCTAGTCTTGACCTCCTGAGCTCAAGCAATCTTCCTGCCTTGGCCTCCCAAAGTGTTGGGATTACAGGCGTGAGCCACCATGCCCAGCCTGTAGACACATCTGATGACAAGTCAAAAATGTAATGAGTCTGCTTTATGAAAAAGATAAGCACTCTCAGAGGGAAAGGCAGAGATGGGTACATTGCAGGGTATCTAAAAAGAAGAGAAAAAGAACACTGAGTATCTACTCTGCAATGCGATCATACAGGTTTTCAAGGCAAATTGTCCCAGCAATTTGCAGGAGACATGGACTTTTATTTTGGTTTTAAAGATGGAGAACATTGTCTACGGCCATACCACCCTGAAAGCGCCCGATCTCGTCAGATATCGGAAGCAAAGCAGGGTCGGGCCTGGTTAGTACTTGGGTGGGAGACTGCCTGGGAATACCGGGTGCCGTAGGCTTAAAAAAAAAAAAAAAAAAGATGGAGAACATTGAGACGAAAACATTAAACAACTGGTCCAAGACATTGCTAAAAAGGTTGATGAACAGCCTCACGTAAGTCAGACATGGTGGCTCATGCCTGTAATCCCAGTACTTTGGGAGGCCGAGGTGGGAAGATTGCCTGAGTCCAGGAGTTCAAGACCAGCCTGAGCAATGCAGTAAGATCCTGTCTCTATGAAAAATTTAAAAATTAGCCAGGGGTAGTGGCATGCACCTGTGGTCTCAACTACTCAGGAGGCTGATGCAGGAGGATAACTTGAGCCCAGGACTTAAAGGCTGCAGTAAGCTATGATCACACCACAGCACTCCAGCCTGGGCAAGGGTGAGACCCAGTCTCTTAAAAACAAAAAAGCCCACATCATCATTGCAAACACTTTTTCACTAAAACAGACAAAGTGACACTTACACACAGAAGACAATAATGACCAAATCTGCCACAAAGTCACAGAAGATGGAAGACATATGACCAGTAAAATATGGATATTATGATGCCTGCAACTTATTTTCAAATGGTGGCAAAAGTGTGTGTGTGTGTTTACAGAGAGAAAGTGTGGGGGCTGAGGAAGATATCTGATTTTTTAGTGGTTTATATTTCTTTTCTTTTCTCTCTCTTTTTTTTTTTTTTTTTTTTTTTTTTTGTGACACAGAATCTCACTGAGTAGCCCAGGATGTAATATAGTGTCGCCATCTCGGCTCACTGCAACGTCTGTCTCCCCTTCAAATGATTCTCCTGCCTCAGCCTCCCGAGTAGCTGGGACTACAGGCATGCACCCCCATACCCAGATAATTTTTTTGTGTTTTTAGTAAAGATGAGGTTTTGCCATGTTGGCCAGGCTACTCTCAAACTCCTGTCCTCAAGTGATCCGCCCACCCAAAGTGCTGATTACAGGTGTGAGCCACTGTGCCTAGCCAGTAGCTGATATTTCAAAGTCATTTCCTTTTGATCATTTATCTAAATTATTATACTACCAGGGCCAAAAAGCTGCTATTGCAAAAATCATATATATACACACACATAAATATATATATATATATAATAATTCAACCTGTCTGACACTGTAATAAATGACACATTATGAGAAGAGAAAATACAATAAATCAGTAATCCTCTACCCAAACCAAAGATTGCTGTCTTTCTAGAGGAGTCTAAGTTTAATTTCAAATTTCCATGATAGGCACTTTTGTCAAAGAATAGGCAGTACTAGAAAGCAGTTGCATCTATGTAAGAGTTCATTCTTATAACCCCCATAAGTTCGTGTTTGTGCTGGCTTTATGCAGTCAGTGGGAGAGGTTATTTTAGGATACACTACAGCACTAGATTATCACGCTGCATTCAATAGGGCCTAAATAAAGCTCCCCAAGTAGAGAAGATTAATAAAACAGCTATGAATTTCAACATAAAAACAAGAGTTACTGATTATATGGAATGTTGGCAAGGATGTGGAGAAATATATGGAGTGTAAATTGGTATGAGATTTTTTAGAAGACAGTAAGTACAGAAGCAGGAAGCCTAAGAAACTTACACTTCAGCATGCCTCCCAGCCTGGCCCCTGCCTACCACCCTAGTGCTGGGAGTTCCTGGAAACTGGAGAAGGAAGGCTGGCTGCAAATCAAGAAGCATTCATCTGTCAGCATTTCTGACAAATCGCTTAAAGAGAGCTCAAAAGAGAATCTTCAAGCTCCAAGCAATTTGCAGCAAATTCTTTTCTTATTCCAAATCCATCTTCAGTTTGCACAAAATCTGATACTTAAGGGGTTTTTTTTTTATTCTTGTTTAGAAAGAGGGCATCCCAAACTGTGCTAGCTTCAGAACCTAATCTGGATCCCTTCTGATTTGATAATATCTCTTAACATTTTTAATACGCATACCTTTTGAAAACTTGGCAATTCTGCTTCTAGGGATCTATTCTGAAAAACAAGAACAAACAAACCAACAGGCCTAAAAAATGCCTAAAGGTATGAGGTATGATTAGAGACATTAATTGCTGCTTAGCAAAGAACTGGGAAAAAACTACTCCTATGAGTAAGAGATTAGATAACTAAATTAGAGAGCATATACAATACGACACTACGCCATTAAAAAATGAAGTCGTGGCCGGGCAAATGGCTCACAGCCTATAATTCCACCACTTTGGGATGCCAAGGCAGGCAAATCGCTTGAATTCGGGAGCTCAGTTCAGCCTGAACAACATATTGAGACCCCATCTCTACAAAAAAATAAACAGCCACGTGTGGTCCCAGCTGTTCGAGAGACTGAGGCAGGAGGTTCGCCTGAGCCTAATAAGTCAAGGCTGCAGTGAGCCATGAATGTGCTACTGCATGCCAGCCTGGGTGACTGAGAAAGACCCTCTCTCTAAAACAAAACTCAACTAAAAGGCCAGAGTGGTGGCTCATGCCTGTAATCCCAGCACTTTGGGAGACTGAGGCAGGAGGATCACTTGATTCCAGTAGTTTGAGATCAGCCTGGGCAATGTGGCAGATCCTGTCTCTACCAAAAAAAAAAAAAGTTTTGTCTTGTTTTGTTTTTGTGGACAGAGTTTCACTCTTGTCATCCAGGCCGGAATGCAGTGATCTCAGATCTCATAGATCTCAGCTCACTGCGACCTCCGCCTCTGGGGTTCAAGTGATTCTCCTGCCTCACCCTCCTGAATAGTTGGGACTACAGGTGTGCACCAGCACACCAGGCTAATTTTTGTATTTTTAGTAGAAACAGGGTTTCGCCATGTTGGCCAGGCTGGTCTTGAACTCCTGACCTCAGGTGATCCACCCGCCTCGGCCTCCCAAAGTGCTGGGATTACAGGCGTGAGCCACCTGGCCCAGTCAAAAAATGTTTTTAATTCGCCGGGCATGGTGGTGGGTGCTTATGTCCCAGCTACTTGAGAGGCTAAGGCAGGACAACTGCTTGAGCCCACAAGGTCGAGGCTGCAGTAAGCCATGATTACGCCACTGCACTCCAGCTTGGGAGACAGAGTAAGGTCCTATCTCAAGAAGAATAAAATAAAATAAAAAGGAGACACTATATTTAGTGACATGGAAAAAGTCTAATGTACTGTGGGTGAAAAAGCAGATTTCAGAAAAATGGAGCTGATGTTTATTTCTGTGTCCTGATGCCAGCTCTCTTCTAAAGACCCTGCATGCCTTATCTACCGTGATCTTCATAACCACTCCCTGACCAAGACACAGACCCATTTAACAGATGAGGGAATGAGGCTCCAAGAAAGGCAGCGCCTCCCTCAAAGCCACAGAGCATGTAAACAGCCAACCTGGAATTAAAACCCAGGACTGTCTGGCTCCCAAGACCCCAGCTGCAGTACGAGTCTTTTAAGACTTCTGACTTAAAAGGACCTCCAGGCCAGGCATGGTGGCTCAGGCCTGTAAGCTCAGCACTTTGAGAAGCCAAGGTGTGTGGATTGCTTGAGCCCAGAAATTAGAGACCAGCCTGGGCAACATGGTGAAACCCCATCCCTACAAAAAACACAAAAAACATTTAGCTGGATATGGTGATGCCTACCTGTGGTCCCAGCTACGGGGGAGGCTGAGTTGGGAGGATCACCTGAGCCTGGGGAGCTCGAGGCTGCAGTGAAGCAGAGATCGTGCCACTGCACTCCAGCCTGGGTGTCTCATATGATTCTCACATTACTCTCGAGCCATTTCTTTTTAAGGGTAAAGAAACAAGAGGTTCATTTTCCTAAGGTTCTGACCCTGATGGATGGCAAACCTGGACGCATTTCTGGGTGCACTGCTCTCTGCTCTGCAGCCCCTCCTCAGCCTGCCCTGTGGGCCCTTACAGACATGAGCCACCACACCTGGCCTTTAGTTTAGTTTTGTTTCAAGCACTGCTGGCATGAACTGGCTGGCAGGGAGCCCTCTGAGTGCCTCCGGCCCCTGGGGAATCTCTCCTGGGACAGCCCCTTCAACAGCC